CTTCAAGGAGATTGTGGATGGGGAACTTGTGGACCCCCCAGAGGACGATTGATCTTGTCCTTCAAACTTTGTATTCGCCCCTTCAATTTCTATTGTGTTACCCTTACCCTTTTGTTGTCCTTATCTTGAAACACTTTATGGAATGTGTTCTTTTTCTTTTTACAGTGCCTATTTTAACTTAGGAATTCGTCCTCAATTAATTCGTCCTCACTTCTCAAAGATAAGAAAGTATATTTTGCCGAAACACCAACTTTAAATGCAAAAATTTCTAAGTTATTGAAAGAAACTTAAATAGAGTGATCGCCCAAATGACGACTCTAAATATTGAGCAAAAAGTTTCTAAGTTATTAAAAGAAACTTAAACAGAGTGATCGCCCAAATGACGGCTCTAAATGTTGAGCAAAAATTTCTAAGTTATTGAAAGAAACTTAACCATATGGTCGCCCAAATGCCGACTCGCATTAATATGAGAAATATGTAATTCCAAAAAGAGGGTCAACCATATGATCGGCCAAATGCCAATTAAATAATGTGAAAAATATTTCCAAGTTTAAAATGAAACTTAACCATATGGTCGCCCGAATTCTGACTCGTATTAATATGAGAAATATCTAATTCCAAAAAGAGGGTCAACCATATGATCGGCCAAATGCCGATTAAATAATGTGGCGAAAATTTTCATGTTTGAAAGAAACTTAACCATATGGTCGCCCAAATGCCGACTCGCATTAATATGAGAAATATGTAATTCCAAAAAGAAACTCCACCATATGATCGGCCAAATGCCGATTTAAATAAAAGGAACAATTTTTCTAAGTTAAAAAGTTGAACCTTGATGTAACTAATCGTTCGGATACCGACTTGAATAAAAGCAACAATTTTTCTAAGTTAAAAAGTTGAACCTTGATGGAAGTGGTCGTCCAAATGTCGACAGGAATAATGACAAAAATTTGTCTAAGTTAAAAATTGAATCTTGATGGAACTAGTCGTCCAAATGCCGACTTGATGGAACTGGTCGTCCAAATGCCGACTTTGATGGAACTGGTCGTCCAAATGCCGACTTGAATAATGACAAAAATTTGTCTACGTTAAAAATGAACTCTTTGAAGATGGAATTTCATGGACTAATCGGCCGAAATCCGATCCACGTAAGTAAAAACTGTCAAAATCAGTCGGATTCCGATCCGCATAAACCGATCAGTCAAATTACTCTAACCAGTAAAAGAAAATATGTTATTTTGAAAACGAAGTCTTCGCGGATTTACTTGGGTAAATATTATTCAATTTTGAATTGAATAAACGGGCGAGAGACTGTCCATTGGACCGACGTGTTTGTCATGGTACCTGTCCAACTGGGAAAAGGAAACAACATTTAGCTAATGGAAAATCATCTTCACTCGTATGAAGAAGTCGCCCAATATCCGAATGTGTTAAGTGTAGTCGTCCATCGTGCAGCCCACCTTTTGTCTTCGAGTTATTTATACTCGCCCAGTCGGACGTTTGCCGACAATCACGATTTTTGTCTTCGAGTTATTTATACTCGCCCAGTCGGACTTTTGCCGACAATCACGAGTTTTGTCTTCGAGTTATTTATACTCGCCTAGTCGGACTTTTGCCGACAATCACGAGTTTTGTCTTCGAGTTATTTATACTCGCCCAATCGGATTTTTATCGACAATCACGAGTTTTGTCTTCGAGTTATTTATACTCGCCCCGTCGAATTTTTACCGACAATCACGAGTTTTGTCTTCGAGTTATTTATACTCGCCCAGTCGAACTTTTGCCGGCAATCACGAGTTTTGTCTTCGAGTTATTTATACTCGCACAGTCGGATTTTTACCGACAATCACGAGTTTGTTCACTTCTGTATAAGAATGTCAAAAGTCATAAGAGGAAACAAGAGATAGTGATATTCATTGAATAGAGAAATTATTGGATTGTGGTGCCTCGTTAAAAACCTTCTCAGCAAAAACCCCTCTTATTTTTACGGGGAAAAAATACTGAGTTAGGAAAAGAGTGCACCTAATACAAAAGGAAAGAAAAATAAGCTATAATAGAAACATAAGTTTGCGGCGTTCCAAGTTCTCGGTATCATCCCTCCATCCAAGGTCCTCAGTCGGTAAGCTCCCTTTTCGACCACATCATCGATCTTATACGGGCCGACCCATTTAGGTGACAGCTTGTTCCTTATCTGTGTTAGCTGAGCACGCCTCAAAACTAGATCTCCTACATCAAAGTCTCTTGGGACGACCTTTGTGTTGTTCTTGAAGGCTGCTCTTCTCTGGGCTGCTACTTGATTTATCCTTGCTCTCTCTCTTGTCTCTGCGATCAGGTCCAAATCAACTCGTCTTCCCTGGTCGGATTCTTCTTCAGAAAAAGCTGTAGTACGTACTGAAGGCTCTGCAATTTTGATCGGGATCATGGCGTCGATTCCGTATTCCAGATTGAAAGGAGTATCTTGGGTCGACGAATGAACAGTTGTGTGGTACGACCATAGCACTCGAGGAAGCTCCTCCACCCATGAAGCGCCTGAGTCTTGGACACGCTCCTTCAAACCTGAAAGAATTACCTTGTTGGCCGACTTCGCCTGGCTGTTAGAATGTGGGTGTTCAACGGAAGTGAATGCCATCCGGATGCCACCTCTTTACAAAAATCACGGACTCTCGCACTTGCAAACTGTGTCCCATTATCAGAAACGAGCATTTGAGGGACTCCATACCTGCACCCCACGTTCTTCCAAAGAAACACTCTAACCTTCTCTGCTGAGATGGTTGCAACTGGCTCCGCCTCGATCCATTTGCTGAAGTAGTCTACAGCTACTATCAAGAATTTTAGTTGTCTTACCGCGATCGGAAATGGACCGAGAATATCGATACCCCACTTGTGGAAGGGCCAAGGGGATAAGATTGAATGTAGTCGTTCAGCTGGGGAATGGTGCAGGGTTGCGTGTCTTTGGCATCCATCACACTTTTGGACCCAATTGACGCAGTCGTTCCTCAAGGATGGCCAAAAGTACCCAGCTCGGGCAACTTTGTATACCAGAGCTCGGCCTCCGATATGACTTCTGCACATTCCACTATGTACTTCATCCATCACTCTCTGTGCTTGCGACATGGTCAAACACCTTAGGAGAGGAGAGCTAAAGCCCCTTCGGTACAGCTTTCATTGATGACTATGAACCTGGCCGACTCTCTTTGTATCAGCGACGCTTCCTTTTTGTCCTCTGGCAACTCCCCCCGAGTCAGGTATACAATATAGGGTCCCATCCATGGCTCGAATTCTTCTTGGATGAAAGAGACACTCTCCTGTGGCTCATTAATGCTCGGCTGAGCTAAGGTTTCTTGGATGACCGACCAAGTGGCTCCTGGCTTCTTCGTGCTTGCTAACTTTGAGAGGAGATCTGCTCTCAAATTCTGCTCCCTCGGTACATGATTAAGCGTGAACTGTCGGAAATTTTTTGATAAGAGCTTAACTTTTTCCAAGTACTTAGCCAGTTGAGGGTCCTTTGCCTGGAAGGTGCCAGCTACCTGCCCCGTAATCAACTGAGAATCACTTCGCGCTGACAAACTCGTCGCCCCCATTTCTTTTGCCAATGCCATGCCGGCTAGCAACACTTTGTATTCGGCCTGGTTGTTGCTCGCTCAGAATTCGAAACGTAGTTATTGTTCCAACAAAATTCCTCCCAGTCCTTCCAAAACGATCCCTGCTCCACTTCCTCCAAGATTTGAGGCTCCGACTATAGATAGGATCCATTGCGTCTCGCCGATGCTGCCCTCGTCATCAGGTGAGGTCAGCTCCATCACGAAATCGGTTAGCGCTTGAGCTTTTATTGCTCCCCTCGGCTCATACTTGGTGGAATACTCCGATAGCTCTACAGACCACTTCATCATCCTGCCTGCTAGGTCGGGCTTCTGTAGCACTTGCCTAATCGGATGATCAGTTCGGACTACCACCTCGTAGCTCTGGAAATAGTGTCTTAACTTCCGTGCTGTAACCAGTATCGCAAGAGCTAACTTCTCAATCTTCTGATACCTCGTTTCTGCTCCTTGTAGGACCCGACTCACGAAATACACAGGAACTTGAGAACCTTCCTGCTCCTGGACTAGAACCGCACTAACAGCTCGGTTGGAAACCGATATGTAAACCAACAAAGGGATATTTGGCCTCGGTTTCGTCAAGATCGGTGGCGACGCGAGCGACTTATTCAACTCCAGAAAGGCCTCCTCACACTCGGTCGTCCAAGCAAAGCGGTCATTCTTCCTTAAGCATTGAAAGAGCGGGAGGGCCTTGTCAGCTGCCTTTGAGAGAAAACGCGACAAAGATGCCATTCGTCTTGCGAGTTGTTGCACCTCCTTCATCGTTGCTAGACTCCTTATATTGATGATCGTCGAGCACTTATCGGGATTTGCTTCAATGCCACGATGAGTTAAGAGGAAACCAAGGAACTTTCCTGCTTGGACCCCAAAGGAACACTTCTCGGGGTTCAACTTGAGTTGAAACTTGCCTATGGTCTCAAATAGTTCCTGCAGATCGTCTAAATGCCAACTCAGACTCATTGACTTCACCACCATGTCATCCACATAGGCTTCCACATTCTTGCCCAGCTGGTTCACCAACACTTTGTCCATCAAACGCTGATACGTTGCGCTTGCATTCTTCAAACCGAAAGGCATGACCTTGTAGCAATAATTGGCTTGATCTGCGATGAACGCAGTTTTGTCCTCGTCCGCCGGATGCATTCGGATCTGATTGTAGCCCGAGTACGCATCCATGAAACTCAATAGTTCATACCCCGACGCGCCGTCGACCAGGCAGTCTATATTCGGCAAAGGGTACGAATCCTTTGGGCACGCTTTATTAAAATCCGTGAAATCTGTGCACATTCTCCACTTTCCACTGCTTTTACGTACCATAACCACATTTGCAAGTCAGGTTGGGTATTGTATCTCTCGTACGTGTCCTGCCATTAATAACTTGTTCGTTTCTTCAGCGATGGCTTTTCATTTTTCCTCCCCGAATTTTCTCCTTTTCTGGATCACTGGTTTCGCGCCTGGGTCTATGGCCAGCCTGTGGCACATGAAGTCGGGGTCGACTCCTGGCATGTCTTTGGCGTGCCACGCGAATGCCGATATGTTCACCTTCAATACCTCTATCAGTTTCAGTGCGTCCTCCGGGCTTAGGGATGTTCCAATCTTTACCTTCTTCCCTTCCATTACGGTCACTTCTTTAACGTCCTCGACAGGGGCTGGTCGGCGATCAAAATGGCTTATTCTGGGGTCTAACTCGACGGAGTGGACCTCTTGCTCCACCTGCGCGGTGTACAGTCGCCTTTGCGCCTTTAAGCTATCCCCGTAACACTTCCGGGCAACCTCCTGGTCTACCTTAAGGACTCCCACTGTGCCGTTTGGCAACGAATATTTTACCTTCAGATGGGGAGTGGACACCACAGCTCCTAGCTTGTTCAGGGTCGGCCTTCCGATCAAGATGCTGTAGGATGACTAGGCGTTGACCACCAAATAACGAACAACCACCGTTTTCATCTGAGCTCCTTGGCCAAAGGTCGTCTCCAGATCGGCATATCCCCTCGCGATGACCTGGTCTCCTGCAAAACCCACTAGAGTCCCTGCATAAGGAATGAGTCGGTCGTTAGGTATTTTCATCCCCTCAAAAGCCTCCCAGAGTAGGATGCCCGCGGAACTTCCCTGATCGATCAAAACACGCTTCACATTGTACCCTATAATGATTGCCAATATGACGCCGGGGTCGTCCTCGTAAGGGGCTACTCCTTCATAATCCGAGGCTGAGAACAAAATCTCAGGCTGAGATGGTCGCCTGAATTCCGATACTGTCAGCACCGACCGAGAGTACCTCTTTCGGGCAGTTGAGGTAGCTCCCCCGCCTGCAAACCCCCCTGCGATGGTATTGAAGTCCCCGTGGATGGGTTGCTGGTGGGTTTCTGACACCTTCGTTGACGCATCTCTGGGAGGAGTTCTCTCTCTACGCCTGTCCCTCCTGGGGTCATCCTGTGCGCGCCGGTGTCGCCTATCCGACGAGCCTCCTTCTTGTTTCCTTGCCACAAGCTCTTTCAGTCGGCCCTCCTTGATCAAACGCTCGATCTGCCTCCCTAGGATGAAGCAATTTTCAGTGGAGTGTCCATGAGCTCTATGGAACTCACACCAGTCAGTTTTAAAGGGTCCCAATTGACGATCCGTCGCCGCTGGAAATTCAAACAACGATGCGCTATTGACATCGTGAAGTATCTTTCGTCTGGGAACATTGAGTGGAGTAAACCTCTCTTCGTCATTGTTGCGTGACCACTCGCCCCTTGCTCGACCACCGTGATCGGCCTGCCTGTAATTACCTTCCTTCAAGTTGTAACGGTCACGTCATTTACTCCAGTCCGATCGCGGTCGGAGATGCTTATTTCCCTCCTTATTGCTGCCCCCCGCCTCTCGACTTTTCGCTGCTCTTTTGCTAATCTGTCCTTCCTCCGTCTTAATGTGACTCAGTGCAAAGGCTCTCCCCTCCGACATCGTCTGGCAATTTGCTCTTTCCAGAGTGATGTCGAAAGCTCCAGACCTTAGGCCCTTCTGGAACGCGATGACAGCCATCCTCTCATCCAAAGATGCTATCCTCAAAGCGACCTCATTGAACCTTTGCATAAAGTCCTTCAACGACTCCTCCCGCTGCTGCTTGAGATCGAACAAGTCCGATGTAATCGGTGGCTTCTTCTTGTTGGCGGCGAATTGCGCCATGAAAAGCCTACTGAAGACGTCGAAGTCGGTGATTGATTGGTCAGGAAGACCACTAAACCAATCAAGTGCTGCCTTCTTGAGTGTTCCCATGAAAAGCTTGCAGCGGACTTCCATGCCTCCTCCACAGATCAACATTTGGGCTCGGAAATCTGTCAAATGCTGACTGGGATCCTGCGTTCCATCAAAGGGCTCGACTTGGGGTATTCGATGATCCCTGGGGATGGCCTCGGCTTCTATGGCTCCCGAGAAAGGCCGAAAATCCCTAGGGACTTCCAACATGACATCTTCCTCCACCGTCCTGGTACTGGCTTCTATTCTGGCCTGCATCTCGTCCGCTCGCCTCCTGATCTCCTCGTTTTCACGTTGGATGGCCTCCTCTCTCTCCCTGGATCGCACATTCTCCTCCCTTAAGCCATTGATCATGGCCATCATCTCCTCCATGGTAGGGGGTTGTGAATTGTTGTTGTTATTGCCGCCTCTCGCCATGGCAGAGTGTAGGTTCTTCGTATTTCTTGGGGCGTAGGAAAAGTTTCATCGTAGTCCCACGGTGGGCGCCAAAATGTTCCGGCCGAAAGGTAGACTAGGGTTTTTCCTAGGTTAAGCCTTAGAGCCAGAGCATTCAAAAGTGTAATCTGCCTTCTTAGCTTTAGGGTCTTAGGTTTTATGCTTTCTCGTTCATGGGCCTTAGGGGCCCCGTGAATGGGGGGATCTCCTTAACCGTTATTATTTGGATAACACTTGGTTGACGCGGGGATCTTCAGTCAGGTTCCGACCGACCAGACCCATGCCGAGGGAGTGGTCGGGTATTGGCCGAGTGGAGTCTTAAAGGCGAGGGGGGGGGGAGGGATCGGAACAGGGCCGATCGGGTTCAGGAGAGGGTAAGGTTGGATCCCGCTCATCCTGTGAAGGTAGGCACAATCGGAAATCGGCCGAGACGGTACAATAATAATAAAAATAATATTAAAATTGATCATTTGGATTATTAAACTTCAATCCGAATAAATAATTTAAAACATATAATTACGTAAAGAAAGACTTAATTTTTCGATTGTAAGGATTCACATATATATAATAATTCTCAACACAATTATATCTTCCACAAATAAACAATCTAATTAGTGCTCTAAATTCATATAAGAAACTTTGCCGGCCGCTTGACTTCTGGTACTGGAGGCAGAGGAATGACTACGTACTTACGTTCTTTTTATAGGAGTTTACCATTCTTCTTTTACATGTATGTCCATATTTTATGCAGTATTTCAAAATTAAACGTTAAAAATTAAATTTTAACTGTTGTAATAAATAGATAGCCGACGTTTAAGAATGTCAACAGAGTGGAGTGAATAATAACTTTTCATCACCTATTTTATTTAATATGGGTATTCATAAATATTATATATATATATATATATATATATATACGGATATCTATAGATATTTGATAAAATATAATTTTTAAATAAAAGATAAAAAAAATTAATTTTAACTTCAAACATATGTTTATATTAAAAAATAAATTTTAAATATATTTTTATTAAAAAATAAATAATTATAATACATATATTTAACTTAAAAATTAATTAAATCAAATTACTTTATATATATTTACTTCAATATGAGTTACGTGCTTTTTGGATAGGCCAAAATTTTTCCCATGTGAATATTTGGTGGAGAGGTTTTCGGTATTTGACCACAACACCATTAACATCATTTCCAAAACTATTAAGTTTCCTACGAATATCACTCTCTACATACTATAACAAACATCAAATCCTATATAAAAAATTAAAATTGAAGTTGAAAAAATAATATGAATACATAATTACAATTACACATTCTAATGAAAGTACTTTTAACATAGATATATGACACGCACTAGTCACTAGCTATGCATGCATGAAGTGTAGGTTTATAACTTTTGTTGCATCCTTTATAGATTAAATATGTGAAATTAATATTATTAAATTTAAAGTGTAAAATATTTGATGATTTAGAATTAGATCAATTTACCATTTAAAGAGGAATAATTGAGAATAAGAATTGAAGGCTCACATGTCATACTGAGCCTTGACCAACCTTAGTGCAATTCCAAAATATGCGAAATCAACATTATTAAATTTAAAGTGTAAAATATTTGATGATTTAGAAATAGATCAATTTACCATTTAATGAGGAATAATTGAGAATAAGAATCGAAGGCTCACATGTCATAGTGAGCCTTGACCAACCTTAGTGCAACTCTAAAATAGCATCACCATGAAAGAAAAGAGAGAAGGTTATCTGTATGACTGTATTAGTAGGTTAAATGTTTGAGTGCTTGACCTAGTTATGTGATTTATTTTAATCTTTTAAACTTCTAATCCTTAGAATGTTGGATTTTGTCTTTTACTTTTAAGTAATAGTTAAAATATGAAATACTAAAAGGTTTAAATAGATTTTTAGTCCATGTAAATAAAAGAGTTTTGATTTTTGGTTCTTGTAAAAAAATTCTTTATTTTTGAACCCTTTGAAACTGTGTTAGTTCCTTCTATTATGTGAGTATTTTTAACTACTTATGTGTTTATTATAAAGTTAAGTGATCATCTCAAGTGGTATTATAAATATTTATCATACCATGTCAATGTGAATATCTCTAAAAAAAAATTGTAGGTAACTAAAATAAATGTTATTTATCTATCTTAACATTAGAGATAAAAAAAAATTTAAATTTTAGAATGATAAAAAACAAATGAAAATATTTTATAGAAATCAAAATCAAAATTTATTCTTTTTATATAGATAAAAAATAATATTTACAAATTTGAGAAGGATAAAAAATAAAAAAATTATTTTAAATTTTATAAAAATCAAAATCAAAATATATTCAATTTATAAAGAATAAAAAAATATTTAAATTAATACTAATTTTTTTAAAAAAAATTAGGTAACTTATAATCCAAACAGACTAACTTGATTTGAATAATCCATTATGACACGAGTTCTATCAAACTATACAAATAATAAGACCAGTACATTAATTTAATTCGAACTTAAAATTTAGAATCTAAACCCTATATTCTAACTAGGCTAGCTTGATTTGAATAATTCATTATGACATGAGTTCTATCAGATTAGACAAATGAGACTTGTTGTCAATTTCGTTCGTAAAAATATTACAATTTCAAAAATTAAGAATTAAAAAATAAAATAAATACTAGGATATAAAAAATATATAATTTTTTAAATGCAAAAAACAAAATTATAAAAATGCAAAAATTAGGGAAAAATGAAAATGTAAGTGAATTTGGATTTGAATTTTATTTGCTATAATCATTCCAAAAAAAAAAATATATGCATAAAATTTCGATCTTCACATTTTACGTGACAAATACGCATTTCATGCGACAGGATATGCATGCTGAAGAGCTGCGATATCACTGTTTCGAATTTTTTCTCTCTAACCTCAAAACTTCTTTTATAAGAGCAAACTCAGAAGGGATGTACACTGCACATTCTCTCAATCTGTTTATTTTGCACACACACACTCACTTTCATTCAAGCACTTTAATCTTCTTCCTTCATAGATTCACTTGCACCTTTTCTTTTTATCATATTTCCTTCGTTAAGTTGTTAAAGTTACTGCACCATTTTCATTGATCATTTTCTCATGCATCACATAATTAAGTAGACAACTTCTTTCCTTGCTTAATTTTCTCTCTCTCATTAAGAACCACGTCTTGCACCAAATACCCACATACTCATCTCACGTTTTGTTTTTGTTTTTGTTTTATATTATATATTATATATATATATATATATTGTGTTCACATATCCTATATTTTTTTTTTTTTTTGTCGTATCCTTGTGATTGTATCTTGTTTGAATCCATGTTACATAATATGATATGAAAGTTTATAAAATAGAAAATATGAGAAGAGTATGCAATCATACCTTACAAATTAAAATTAACCAAGAACAATACAAATATTATTGAATTAAATTATGATGATATTTTTTTAAATCAATAATAAAATGGATATATGATAATATGCATCCAAATAGTGAGTATGTAGTAATTGATGTAAGACATTGAAAGTTACTATAGTAAGAAAACGAATATTTAGTGTGGTATTGCATGATAATTTCTAAAGAAAAAACCTGATATTTATTAAATCTTCTGATTCCTGAAAAATCTATCAAGATGTAGTTTTGTTTTTTAATATCACAATTTAAGCGGTAGATTGATGACCTACACCACTTTTATGTATATAAAGATTATAATTTCGTGTTGTAATATTTGTTAGAAAAAAAAAATATTTCTTAGCTTTGTCTTTACATATTCCTTTTCTTTATTCATATCTTTCATATTCTTACTAAATATTTTGTCTTCCACTTTGTTACCTTTAATTTATGCTTCCTCCTGTACCATTGTTTTTTTCTCTTTCTTTTTAACTTTTTGGTATCCTTCTTTTTTCTTTCAAATCAGACAAAGGATAAGGGAGGATGTGTTTTTTTACTCTATTTTATACATTTTAGTTTTAATTATGTAAATAATGCTATATTTTATTTTTAAGAATTTTATACAATTTATGTGGATTAATTTACAATAATGTTTGGTCAATAAAAATTATCTCTTGTAAATCTAGATTAATTTTTTGTTGTCAAATTTGAGACAATGTATAAATTATATTATAAAAAGAAAAATACTACTAATGCAAATACCTTTATAGTTAATATATTAATACGTTCAGACTAAATTTAACATTCATATCTTGATATGTCTATAAAAATGGGAAAGTTCTTAGCCTCTTGAGAACGAAGCCCACACTCTTTACGTGAAGTCAGTGAGTGCAATTGTAGGAAGATGAAATGCCAAACTTCCTATAAATCAAACACCTCAAAACTCGATGGTACCCGATTTATGTGATCACTGCCTGACCTTTTGGAAACAGAGGATAACGGTTACCCATCACGGCAAAGGTCCACAAATCCTAGTCCTTTGCAGAACTCCAACATCTCTAGTTATGAACGACAAGTGAATCATTTGATTCAAACTAAGAAACCGTATATGAATGTGCCACGATCTTGGGATAACATCGTTAGCTACGAACAACAAGTGGATAATGCAATTCAGGTTGTGAAACTGCAGAGGTATGCGCCAGAATCCTGGGACAACATCGTTAGCTACAAACAACGAGTGGATGATGCAATTAAGACTCCGCAACCGCAATGGAATGCACCACAATCCTGGGACAACATCGTTAGCTACAAACAACGAGTGGATGATGCAATTCAGACTCCGCAACTGCAGAGGTATGCTCCACAATCCTGGGACAACATCGTTAGCCACAAACAACGAGTGTATGATGCAATTCAAACTATGAAACCCATTCCAAGTAATGCACCAAAATCCAAGGACAATATCGTAAGCCACAAACAACGAGTGTATGATGCACCAAAGGTCTTGGACGACGACGACTTTAGTTATGGACGCTACAAACAACGAGTGTATGATGCACGCCACAAACAACAAGTGTATGATGCACCAAGGTATGGCGACGATTATGGACGCCACAAACAACGAGTGTATGATGCACCAGGGTATGATGCACCAAAGGTCTTGGACGACGATTATGGACGCCACAAACAACGAGTGTATGATGCACGAGGGTATCATGTACCAAAGGTCTTGGACGACGATTATGGACGCCACAAACAACGAGTGGATGATGCACGAGGGGATCATGTACCAAAGGTCTTGGACGAGGATTATGGACGCCACAAACAACGAGTGTATGATGCACCAAGGTATGGCGACGATTATGGACACCACAAACAACGAGTGTATGATGCACCAAAGGTCTTGGATGACGATTATGGAAGCCACAAACAACGAGTGTATGATGCACCAAGGTATGGCGACGATTATGGACGCCACAAACAACGAGTGTATGATGCACCAGGGTATGATGAGGACGTGGACTACGACGACTTTAGTTATGGACGGTGAGTGGAGGTATGGACGGTGAGTGGATGATGTAACTAGTGTACGAGTGTATGATGCACCAGGGTATGATGAGGACTTGGACTACGACGACTTTAGTTATGGACGGTGAGTGGAGTTATGGACGGTGAGTGGATGATGTAACTAGTGTACGAGTGTATGATGCACCAGGGTATGATGAGGACTTGGACGACGACGACTTTAGTTATCGACGGTGAGTGGATGATGTAACTAATTAAGACTGCATCAGGGTATGATGAGGACTTGGACGACGACGACTTTAGTTATGGACAGTGAGTGGATTTATGGACGGTGAGTGGATGATGTAACTAATTAAGACTTTTGTGTGTGTGTGTGTGTGTGCGCGCGTGCGTGCATGTTTGTGTGTGTAATTTTATGAATATCCGTCAATTTGAATTAATGAAATGACGTATCAAATGATTTTCAAATTTTCTAAAAATTTACAGATTTGATCTATGCATTAAGAACCTTAAATTGAACGGTTAGATCGTTCAAATTTGATATAGAACATGAGTTATTGAACGGAATAAGTCTAGGTAGACTTACTGCTGGACTTGGAGTAAAAGGATCCCTCCTCATATATATATATATATATATATA